GAATTATCCTCTGTATTTGATATAGACAAAGAAAGATATATTAAGCAACAATTTATTCAAGATCATCGCAAACGGCTCAAATATTTGTATGAACACATTGCGGAGAAACTAGTCAACGACAAGAATAAAGTTAGGGAAAGAAAAGGTGGGGAAATACCGCCTAACATACAACCCGGTGACACTTTATTTGTTAAAGATACAAGAACTAGAAAGGCAAAACATTTGCCACGGTACGAAAAGGTTGTTGTAACCAAGGAAATACAACGCAATGTAGTTCCTGTAAAATTAAAGAATAGGGATACAAAGGTCGCTATTAAAAACATAAAACGTCCTTCGCAGATGGTGGATGTTAATCCTGGCCCAAGTAACATTGGGAAACGGTCTAAGCCTAACCAAGCTGGCAACCAACCAAGGCCTACCAGCAGTAAAGCTAGGAACAGCGATGATTAAGAAGGGCCAATGGGAGATAATTAAGACAATAGATTTACAGTTCTTATACGAACAATTAGAATATAACATAGAAACTTATACAAATCTAAGTGCTTTAGCTTCAAACAATAGCGATACTAGAAGGGAAGTGATAGGATTAGAGAAACAAGTAGATTTTATTATGAAATTAGTTGAAGATAGATTTAATCAAATAATATTTAAAAAAAGAAGTAAGCGGGGTTTAATAAACCCTTTAGGTTCTATAGTTAAGCTAATCAGCGGTAATTTAGACTATGAAGACGCAAAAAGATACGACTCCTTAATAAAGAAAGTAGAATTAAAGGAAATTAGGCAAGAAGATAGGATATCCATAATAAATAAAGGATTCAGTAAACTACTGAACGCAGCCGAAGGTATGAACAATAACATTAAATTAATTGATCGAAAAACCAAAACTCTGGAGACTTTAATGACCGAAGATATGAAAATACATAACGTTATAACAGTCCTTAATAGCTACGGCCAAATTATAAGTAACTTTCGAACATTATACATCATTATTTACGAAATAGAAACAGCAATTGCTTTTAGTAAACTACATACACTACATCCTTCTATTATAAATTCTACTGAACTTTTGAATGTACTAACATCAATAAGTAAACATTCTAATCTTATGTACGAAGTAAACGAACATAATTTAATTAAAATTGAACAAGCAATACAAGTAAAATCATATCTTTCTGACATGAAAATCAATTTTATATTAGAGGTACCATTAGTAGACACACATACTTATATATATTACAAAGTCGTTCCAATTCCTATATATGACCCAATCTCCCTGTCAACACATACATTATTCCCAAAATTCCCGTACCTATTAGTGGCAGGTACGAAATTCAGACCCGTAGTGCAACAATGTACAGAATCTGATAATCAATTGTTCTTGTGTGACGATGAGAACTTAGCCAGCTATCCCATGGAGACATGTATAGAACAACTGATACTTCTAAAAAATAACCTGACTGAATGCTCTATAAGGAGAATCAAGATCGAGAGTATCAAAATACAACATATGACTGATAATTCTTGGTTGCTATATACAGAAAGCAATCTAGTGATAACAGAGTCATGTGAAAACCAAGTCCAAAAACATAACGTTCAAGGAACATATCTTCTAACAATTGAACAATATTGTACCACTGAAGTCAACGACAAGGTTATACAAGCTACAACAAATACAACACCCTTAGTCTACAGTTTACCAAAGGTGAAAATACCTAGTATTCACCAGTTTCAGAATATAAAAAACGAAAACAGAAGGGCAGTAGACCTACGTGGAGTAAACTTTGATGAAATAAAAGAAATGGCTCATCTCATGGACGTTAGTGAAAACACCCCCGATTTCAAAGTACATTTTAACATTAGTGTATGGACCATAATTTTGTATTTAATTATAAGTTTACTTATTTTATATTCATTATATAAGTATAGACGTTTTTTTAAGAAGCCAGTTCTGGATTCTGAAAAAAACATCTCTAAGGAGGGAGGAGTTATGGATGCTAACTCAGCATCCTTAAACAACGATGTTTGCTTTACATAAAATAGAATTTGTACCATTGCGCAAGTTATATTGTAAAGTGCGGAATGGCAAATCTTCATTGTAATAATGTCATTATAGTAATTAGTATATAAGACCTATAGTCTAAGCATCGGGGTTCTGTCTTGTACCAATCTTCAATAAATAACTATCTCCCGTAAGACTGCCTTTGCCTTTTACTTAAGTCGCGCGACCTTCAGTCACCTTATAGCACTCGCCTAAGACACCCGCATTTGCATTGTATTACTTATTTTATTAAAACCATATGTAATATACAAATTTGAGCTTCTACATTACTTCTCAACCTTCACCGTTCCTGATACAAGCGCTCCTGTTCTCCATTTGGTCCTAACGACCCGGATTTATAATTACAAAGAACCTGCCAAGAACAAAGGAATCACGCAAGTTGCAAGAACCGTTATGTGATTGTTCGAGAAGAAGAGTTCGAAATCAAAGTTCTTGATATTAAAGGAAACTGTATTGGAAACAAGAATCACGCCTACCTCGTCGGGAATCTACATTAAAACCTGAGGGAGTAGCGTTACCGTGAGTCCGTTCCAATTATCGTGTCCGTTAGATTGGTATTTAAATCTTAATCATTTCGCACTTTAAACGCGAATTAATCATTAATGCCATATATTTCCCTAATTCTTTAAAGTACAAGCTGTTACAAGCTGTAGTCTTTCATGACCAATTTAGTTATTTAATTTTAGTCAATAAAATCTTATCATACCTACTTAGTTACTTACTTTATTACTACAACTTACTTAATACAATTTCATTAAATTTTTATACTTTAATCGCACGATAAATGCGACAACTTCATTATTATAGTAAATTACTCAAATAATATTCATCATTTTAGTGTTTTTTCAATTAAAAAATAATTTCAACCCATACCTATTGTTAATCAAACGTTATATTGTTAATTCCCGACAGTAAATTTATTATTTTTACGTCTTTTAGGTTTACGCTATCAATCTGTGCAAGTGACCTATTTTTAAAATACCTACGTTTTGTGCACATTCCAGCTAAATGCAGTGAGTGCGAGCGGTTAGTGACCTTCATACCTACGACGCGGTCATTTCGCTGCAACGACGACGGCGGCTTATCTATTGCTTGCTTCCTCGTCTACGCACTCGGCTTACGTGCGGCTTACCTTACTGCACTCTCATCACGCTTCATTGATAAATTTAAGTACACATTGCACTTTATTATATTAAGAAAAAGTCATAATCTCATACTGTTCTAATCTTATACTTACCTACAGCTTAAAAGTAAATTTTTCGTAAGTAAACAAACCTTACTTAGTAAAATTATGGATTTAAAAACTTTAATTAAACAACGAGCGTCATTTAAAGCTAAATTAACTCAGTTCGAAAAATATTTAGAAACTTTGAATAGTTGTGCTAATCTAAGTAGTTTGCAAATTGGTGAACTTAACATTCGATTATCAAAATTTGAAGAAATATATTCAGAATATGATAGCCTCCAAACAGAGATAGAACAAACATCTGAAATTCCAAACGAACAGTTTCAGGATCGAGAGGCCTTTGAGACCAAGTACTTCGGTGCAATGGCGCTCGCTCGGGAGGTGCTGGCGCGGAACGATTGCCCTGCGCGCTCTGGTTCGGGCTCCGGCTCCAGGTCAGGTTCTTGTGTACACCAAGGTAGGCCAAGTCTTAAGCTTCCGACTATACACTTACCTGGCTTTTCGGGTCAATATCAAAACTGGCTGGAATTTCACGACACATTCAACTCACTTATTCATTCAGACGACTCCATACCTAAAATAAACAAGTTCCATTACTTACGTGCAGCTTTGAAAGATAGTGCCGCTTTGATGGTGCGATCGCTTGATTTTTCTGCAGAGAATTACGACGTTGCTTGGGGTTTACTCTGTGATAGATTTCATAATAAAAGGCTTCTTGTCAACAACCATATACAAGCTATTTTCAACATAGATATATTACTTAAAGAATCTTCAAAGGCGTTACGCGACATTTACACGACAGTTACGCACTGTCAATAGAAACTTGCGCGCTCTAAAAACACTTAAATTACCCACTGAACATTGGGATATTCTTATCATATACATAATATCAAACAAATTAGATTCAACAACTACTCGTGAATGGGAAACATACCGTAACACACTAAATGAGTTACCCACACTTGAAATATATTTAAATTTCTTAAGAAACCGTTCAGATCTCTTAGAAACCATGGAGGAGATACACACTAAGCGTAGGCATAGTGACGTCACGCATAATCGACACAAGTCATTAGTTGTCAGCTCACAATTTCAATCTAATAATGCAAATAAACAATTCGTGTGTCCATTGTGTAAAAATAGTCATGCTATTTATCGCTGTATGAAGTTTAGAGCTTACTCATTAGACATAAGAATGCAAAAGGCTAAAACATTAAAATTGTGCCTTAACTGCTTGCGTCAAGGGCATAGCGCAAATGCATGCAGAATTGGACCATGTCGTTTGTGCAATAAATTGCTAAATAGCTTACTTCATTCTCATGACGCACCTGTTGGAGCCGCTCCATCGACGTCACATAGCAACGTTGCCCTTTGCGCCGGGACGCCTCTGCCGCAGGAACAGTCGCCGCAGGCGTCACCTAATATACAAACTACTTCTAATAACATTTCTCAGCATAGTGTTGTATTATCAGCTGTTCATAGGGACTGCGTGCTTTTGTCCACAGCATTAATACAAATTCTAGATCATAAGGGTCAAGGTCATACAGTACGTGCGCTACTAGATAACGGAAGCACGTCAAGCTTCATTACAGAAAAACTACATGCAAAACTTAACTTACCCACCATGTCGACCTCGTCATTAGTCGAAGGGTTGAATGCCCAAACGTCTCGCTTAAACAAGCGGTGCGGTGTCACTTTATCATCACTTATAAATACATACAAAACAAACACAAATTGCTTTATTGTTCCCCGCATTACACAACCGTTACCTACAGTACACATTAATTGTACATTACTTAAAATTCCACCTAACATAACACTAGCAGATCCTACATTTAACATACCTGCTGAAGTAGATATGCTTCTCGGAGCAGATATTTTTTGGAGCGTGCTAGGTTCTCATAATATTTCATTAGGCAAAAACATGCCTACATTAAGTAAAACTAAATTTGGCTGGTTAATATCCGGTCTTATTCAAACAAATACTTACTCAAATACAGTCCACTGCAATCACACTATCGTTACACAAGATGATCAACTTCAAGAGCAATTAACACAGTTTTTTGAACACGAAAATGTTCCTCAGCATAAACAAATGTCATTGGAAGAGCAACTATGTGAACAAGACTTTATAGATAACACAATTCGGGACTCTGACGGAAGATTCATTGTTACTGTTCCATTGAAAGAGTCTCCCTCTAAGTAAGGCGACTCATACGAGAGGGCTTTGGCTAGATTTGTGTCGTTGGAGCGTAGATTTAGCAGAGACCCATTACTTAAAAAACAATACAATAAATTCATTCAGGAATATATTGACCTAGGACATATGGCAGGAAACACAAAACCCGATGATGATGCACATAAGTATATATTACCCCATCAAGGTGTTGTCCGTGAAACAAGCTTATCGACAAAACTGAGGGTTGTGTTCGATGCTTCAGCAGTCACGACGTCAGGTCTGTCATACAATAATATTCAAATGGTCTGTCCAACTGTGCAGGACGATCTCATTAGCATTCTAATTAGGCTTAGACAGCATAAATTCGTAGCAACAGCGGACGTTGAAAAAATGTATCGCATGATAAATGTCAAACAAGATCAACATCAATTGCAACAAATATTATGGCGTTTCGAACCTAATGAGCGCCTTAAGCTTTATAAGCTTAAAACAGTTACTTACGGTACTGCATCCTTGCTACTAGATGCCTTAAACAATTAGGTATAGAAAGCTCGGATAAAATAGTTTCACAAATCGATGATCTCATAACCGGTGCATCGTCTGAAGAAGAATTAATAAACATTTGCCGTGGTGTTATAGAGCAGCTTAAGAAAGGCCAGTTTCATTTACGAAAATGGCACTCGAATTACCCACACATAATCAATAAAATCGTAAACGGAGACAGTAGTAACGGATTACTCAACCTTAGTAATAATGAGTATTCAAAAACTTAAGGCTTGCTTTGGGCTTGCAAAGAAGATAAATTATTGTATTCCGTTAACATTCAAGAAGACATTCACATTAGTAAACGTCACATACTCTCCATAATGTCACAAATTTTTGACCCGTTAGGATTAATTAATCCATGTATACTTACAGCAAAGATTATATTGCAAAGGTTATGGTCTTCAAAAATTTCGTGGGATGAATCCATTCCCATAGAAATTCAGCAGGCTTGGCGCAAGTTCGTCGAATCATTGCAATATGTAAATAACATTAAAATTCCTAGATGCGTACTTTGCTGCTCTCCTAAACATATTGAAATACATGCTTTTAGTGATGCGTCGACACTCGCATACTCGGCGTGTGTTTACCTCAAGTCTGTATCGAGTGACGGTGTTGTTTCAGTTCACTTAGTAATGGCGAAGAGTCGTGTGGCTCCAATAAAACCCACGACAGTCCCGCGGCTAGAGCTGAGTGGATCGCTACTCGCTGCTAGGCTCGTGGAGAAATTGAAGGTATCCTTCAGATTGCATATCAACAGTTTTAATTACTGGTGCGATTCTACAATCGTCTTAGGTTGGATTAAATCTTCTAAACAACATTTACTTAAGCCCTATGTTTTCAATACAATTTAAGAAATTATACAAACGTCGGAACCGAGTACATGGCGTTACGTGCCTACTAATTTAAATCCCGCCGACATCGGCTCCCGTAGCGCAAGCGCCGCGCAATTTGAGAACTGTTCCTTATGGTGGACAGGTCCCTCCTTTCTATTACAGGATGAACAAGCATGGCCTAAACAGCCAAAACATTCAAAAGAATTGAATTTGCCAGAATTTAAAGTACAATGTAATTTACATACAGATCAATCAGATCATTACAACTACATTTCAAACTTCATAAAGCGATTTTCTAATTTGAATAAGTTACAACGTGTTTTAGCCTATGTTCAACGCTTTTTACATAATTATTTAAATTCTGAAAATAAACGCACTGGATATTTAAGTACTTCAGAGTTGAACTCGTCACTAAATGCGTTGTGTCGATTCGCGCAACGCGAAACGTTTTTAAAAGAGTATACAATTTTAGAATCTAATAAAATTTTACCTATTAAAAACCAATTAAATAAACTTCACCCATTTCTTAACACAGATGATGACCTTTTGAGAGTGGGAGGCAGGCTTTCAAACTCTTTTTACGATTTTGATACAAAACACCCAATACTGCTCCATTCATCACACCATGTCGCAACACTCTTATACAGATATTATCATATTATTCTCATGCACGCTGGACCACAATTACTTCTTGCCACTTCACGTCATAAGTTTTGGGTTATCGGTGGTAGGAATTTGGCTAGGAAAACAGTTCATAAATGTATTAAATGTTGTCGTTTCTCGGGCAAGATTAGGCAACCAATTATGGGTGATCTCCCGGAACAACGCTTTCATACCGATTTTCCATTCTTAAATACAGTTGTTGATTACGCCGGTCCAGTAATGATATTGAACCGAAAGGGGAGAGGAAGTAGATTGATTAAATCCTACTTGTGTATTTTTGTTTGCATGGCCATTAAAGCTGTACACATAGAGCTTGTGACCGATCTAAGCAGAAAGACTTTTTTAGCTGCATTACATAGATTCATAGCGCGCAGGGGGAGTCCCGCCAGCATTTTCTCAGATAACGGAAGATGTTTCGTAGGCGCGTGCAATGAATTATCAAAATTTCTTAAACAAAACTCCGGTACTATTAGTGATGAGACTTCAAAATTATCCATTAAGTTCAAATTTTCTCCCGCATATAGTCCTCATTTTAATGGCTTGGCTGAGAGTGCAGTAAAGTCAGTCAAACATCATTTGAAACGCGTATTAGGTTCTGCCAATTTAACTTATGAAGAACTAAATACGGTCCTTACACAGATTGAAGCCATCCTAAACTCGAGACCCCTTACCCCCCTATCTTCTGATCCATCGGATCTTGCAGCCCTTACTCCATTACATTTTCTAATTGGACGGACAGTAGCTATACTCCCATTGCCTCAGGTCGAACAAGCAACTGCTCCACACACACTCTCACGTTATATGAGACTACAGCAAGTCAAAGCCCATTTTTGGAATAGATTTCACAAAGAGTATATTTCAGAACTTCAAAGGCGACAGAAATGGAGCAAAGATGGAGGACACCTGAAATTGGGCGAAATGGTGCTCGTAAAAGATGAACGACTGCCGCCCAACCAATGGCTGCTGGGGCGTGTAACGCAACTTTACCCTGGCTCCGACGGCATAGCCCGCGTTGCTGATATCCTCACCACGTCAGGGACTTTTCGACGTGCATTTAATCGATTGTGTCCGCTGCCAGTGGAAGACCAGAACTGCATTCCTGGGGGCCCAGCATGTTGACGCGATGCATATGTATGCTGCACACAGACACACACACGCATATACGGCGATTCACAGAGGACGGCGCGCGCGACCTTCAGTCACCTTATAGCACTCGCCTAAGACACCCGCATTTGCATTGTATTACTTATTTTATTAAAACCATATGTAATATACAAATTTGAGCTTCTACATTACTTTTCAACCTTCACCGTTCCTGATACAAGCGCTCCTGTTCTCCAACTGTAATACGACGACCGTGACATCGATGGTGTCACGCGTGTACGGAGTTTCGAAGTGAGCAGTGTGTCTGCAGAATCAAGCGTCCCTCGTCCGCCGGCCATGATTGTAAAATTCGCTCGGCGGCTGTGTAAGGATAAATTCCTAGCAGCAGTGCGCTCGCGACGCGGCCTAACTACTGCCGATGTCGATCTTTCGGGTCCCTCTCTAAACGTGTGTGTGTCGGATTACCTCACTCCTCGAAACAAACAAATATTAAAGCGTGCCAGACAGATCAAAACTGACTTGAATTATTCTTATTTATGGGTTAGAGACTGTAAGATATTGATGCGCAAAAACGAAAGGTCAAAGGTTGTCGTCATTAGGAATGATGCCGACATATCAAAGTTAAAATGACTTCTAAACGATTTTTTTTATATTTTTAATCATTAAACAGTGGCTTCTTCATTTTTTTACCAATGTAGATAGATAGATAGATATACATTCGTTTCTTATTGCAATTATGTATTTTAACTGTATCTGTTATTCTACGTTAAGTGATGTGGTAACTATTTTTTCTGTTTGTGTACAATGCACTCTTTTTCTAAAATATTTACATTTAATCCTATTACGAAATTACTTCTTGCTACAATATATAAATGAAATTGCATATTATAATTTAATTACTTCTAATTACTTAATGAATTTTGATGGTCTCATGGCGAATAGTAAATACGTGTTTATATTAATTAACTATTATGGATCCGACAACTAAACATCTATTAGGTTATTATCAGAATGTAAGGGGTTTACGTACGAAATCCCACGACTTTCTATCCCAGATAGCTATAGCTGACTACGATTTTGTATGTGTGACTGAAACCTGGTTAACACCTGATTTTTACGACCGAGAGTATTTTGATAGTAGGTACTTTGTGTTTCGCTGTGACCGCTCGCACGAGGAGAGCGGTGCGATGCGCGGCGGTGGAGTCATGGTTGCAGTGCGTACTACATTGATGCCGCTGCGACAGAACTGGCCGACGCCACCGCGCGCTGCTTCCGACTGCATTTGGCTATCCATACCCCTGAATACAGGTAGTAGTAATAGATGTTTAAACATCGCCTGTGTTTACATACCACATGGGCCAGGCTACCGTGACGCGCTGGAAGCATTTTTTAATTGTGTGAAATTTGTTTGAATATTGATAACTTTAAGTCTTTAAATTCAGTACCCACCTATAATTATAACTTCTGTGCAGCAGATTTTCTTTCTATTAATGAGGAACTTACAAACATAGACTGGCCTGAAATATTTAAAGCTTTAAGCTTAGAGGAATGTATTTCGAAATTTTACTGCATTTTAAGGAATTGTATTACAAAGTTTGTTCCTCGAAAGATTATCAGATCTTCGCAGTCCTTTCCTGTATGGCATACTAAGCCCTTAAGAAAACTTTTGAATGAAAAAAGAAAATATCACAAACTGTGGAAGTTGTATGGGAATCCCTTGGATTATCAAAGTTTCAGTGTTCTGAGGAAAAGAGCCAATCGCATGAAAACCGAATGTTACAATAATTATATACACTATATAGAAAATAAAATTCAAACAAACTCTAAGTATTTCTGGACCTATGTCAAAGCTATTAGGGCTAATAATGGGCTACCGCAAACGATGACCTTTAACGGGAAAAGTAGTAGCGATGGAAAGCAAATTTGTGAATTCTTTAATGAACACTTTCATTCGGTGTTCGTAAATAATACTAGCCAATCGCTGCCTAATCAATGAGACGCTCCCGTAAACACAATTTTGGATATTGGTTCCGTCGAGATTCACCTTAAGTTGGTGAACAAATATTTAAAAAAAATTAACGTCAACAAGGGTGTGGGGCCGGATGGGATACATCCTCTGTTAATTAGCAAGTGTGCTGATGCGCTGACCTATCCCCTCACTCACATTTTCAAATTATCTTTTAGCAGTGGTTGCGTGCGTCAAGTCTGGAAGTATGCTTGGATAACGCCTATACCTAAGGGTAACGTGTGTGAGGATGTCACTAATTATCGGCCGATTTCCAAACTGTGCCATTTCGCCAAGATACAGGAAAGGATTGTTACTGATCAACTGTTTGGGGTTGTGAAGCGCGTCATTGTCCCGAACCAACATGGCTTTTGTAGAAAGCGTGGTGTGGATAGCAATTTGTTAACTTTTACGGAGCTTATACTGTCAGCAATGGATGATAACGCACAAGTAGATGCTATATATACCGATTTTGCGAAAGCATTTGATAAAATTTGTCATAACACACTACTTTTTAAGTTCTGGCAGCTCGGAATTCACGGTGACTTGTTCCGATGGATACGTTCATACGTGGAAAACCGTAGTCAGGCTTTTACACTCTGTGGTTACCGTTCTATATATAAGAATATACCCTCTGGAGTGCCTCAAGGATGTCATTTGGGACCTTTATTATTTATTATTTATATCAATGATCTGACAAAGTCCATAAGTCACTCAAACGTACTACTATATGCGGATGATACAAAGTTATACAGAGTTGTAAAGGAAACAAATGATGCTGCGTTACTGCAAAGCGATTTAAATGATTTTGTTGATTTTTGTAACAGTAACAATTTATTTCTGAATGCAGATAAATGTTTTACCATTTCTTTTACAAGGAAAAGAAATCCAATAACGTACCCTTATAAAATTTGTGGACAGGATCTGAATCGCGTAAGTGAGATTAGAGACCTGGGTGTGGTAATAGACTCCAAACTTTCATTTATCCCCCATATAGATAAGATTGTTAATAAGTCATACAAATTTTTAGGTTTTATATTACGCGTAGGTAAACCATTTAAAAACGCTTCTACCTATAAACTATTATTCAACAGTTACTTGCGAAGTCGGCTGGAATTCGCAAGTCCAGTTTGGAATCCGTATCAACAGGTTCATCAAAGTAAAATTTAAAATTTGCAACGAAAATTTGTTAAATCCTTGGATTATAGAATCGGTCACCAGCACACAGATTATGACTCATCCCTTACATTCCATAAAATTAACACCTTGAAGCAACGTCGCGAGATTGCTGACGTCACGTACTTGTTTAAAATTACATAACGTGGTTGATGCCCCTTTCCTATTTTCGTGTGCCTTATAAGCAAGAAAGAACAAGTCGTAAAAAAACACTATTTGCCATTAAACCAAGTAAGACCTGCTATGGAAGTAACAGTTTTATAAAGAGAGCATGTACCTTATATAATAGCAAATTAATGAGTATAGAAATATTTGATAAGTCGCTATTAAGATTTAAAAACCACATCACTGAACTTATATAAAATAAAACTAATACTATGGATAAATAATGTTCAAACCGTTTTTGTGATTTCATTGTTTTTTTTTGTTGTCTATTATTGTAGTGTGACTTGTCTTGTTGTATTTTCACTGCTTCCTCTTGTTTGCGTATTATGTCGATGGTTGTGAGGTATACAAATAGATTATAGGTTCTCCTAGTAACAAGTGAGCCGTCTTGAGTCTTGAACTTTATAATGGAGTCGGAGTCCTGCAGTAAAACAAATAAATAATGATTGGTGCTTAACATTTACGTAATACCATCAAAAATGTGTAATCTTTCTATAGTAGTATGTAGTAGCAGTATAATATGTTGTTCTTACCTAAAGTTTCTGGCCTGCATACCACCCATTCTCATTCCTCTTGATAAAGTTTGACGCTCACATTTAACATCTCTGGATTTGATTGAAAGAATATTAGTTATGATTCATGTTATTGTCTGAAATGAAATTTACCTTATTAATATTTAGATTTTATTATATTTATAGTAATGAATTAATTGTAATATAATTAGTTAGCTATTGTGCTTACTTTAAGTGGAAACCATGTTTTCGTATGTTCTTTCCAATGTAAGTCTTTCCGGGGTTCTCGCATGCCGTGATAGCAATATTATTATTACAAATTGTATATAACACAAACTGGAAATAGTTGAACTGGTTCACTGATGGATTGCAAAGACTATACTTCTTTTTATTTAACGTTTTTTTTTCTCACTCAATGCATTGTCAATAATTATTTTTCAATTCAATTACGACTTGTGTTCCGTTACGTAATGACACGACCGGTCCTGAGCGCAGCGAGTTACCTCTGTGTGCACTCTTGCAGTGTTCGCAAGACGAAATACGCATATTGCTGAATATGTTTGTTCTGTTCCGTTGTTCCTGTGCACGAGTTCTTTGTGTTGTATGTGTTATGTCTATATGTCTGTGGCTATATCTATCCATAACTTGAAATTGTTTATCATAGATCACATACATACTTTTATTTCTTCCGTGTTGTTTATTGTGTATCAGATTGTCTGTTTACCTATTTTTTGTTTTATTTAATGTATATTTAGGGGACTATGGGTTTAATTATTAGTTACTTTTAAAATATGTATTTTTTATATGTGTGTAACTGTTTGTCCCTCAATAAAATAAAATAAAAAAAAAATAAAATAAATAATAAAGTAATAATCTTAAGCTAAAAAGAAACTACGAAAAAGAAATACTAAAAAATTCAGTAAAAAATAATAAACTATTATGGAAAAATATTAAAAATATTACGTATACTAGTAACAATAAATCCACCAACACAGAACTGACGAATTTGAAATTGACTCCCTCTGCCTCTGCGGATTATGTAAATAAGTTTTTTGTTAATATTGGCAAGCAACTTGCTTAGCAAATACAAACACCGAATGATGAACTGAAAACTTATCTCAAAAACTTACCAACACAAATCAACTCCTTCATTCTCCTGCATACTGACCAAGATGAAGTAAACTGTATAATTAGGAACCTAAACTCGACTAGTGCGCCAGGCTGGAACAATATCCCTACAGCATTTTTAGAATCTGCAAATTCCGTAGTTGTTCCCATTATTACCTATGCTGCAAACCTCTGTTTTGACAAAGGAATTTTTCCG